ACGTATTCAGGTTTCCGGAATCAGTCTGGAAACCTATTTGGGCTTCCGAGCGCTCGCAAACGTATTTTCCTGGGTTTCCGAGAAAACGATTTTTATTTAGAGTGCACATTTATTTTCTTTAAAAAACTTTTTACACTAAAAGAATGTCTTCCAAAAAAAGCGATTTTTTCGCGAAAAAATGTTTTTTTAAGTAAAAATGTCAAGCTCAATATTTGAAAAACTGATTGCAGATTCGGATTCCTCGACCCCGAAAACCTTTGGTCAAACTTTATAAAGAATCGTTATTTTTTTAAAAAACCCTCCTTGAGCGAAAAAATTAGGGATATAGCAATACGAATACTATTCAATACCAATAAGTCAATACTGTATTGGAATTGTGACATAACTACCACTAATCGATGCTGATTGCAATCAATACCGGCCAATTCCAGACCAATTCCGACCAATTCCAACAAATTCCTGACCAATTCCGACCAATTCCAATTCCAACTGCAACCAATTCCGACCAATTCCAATTCCAATTCCGACCAATTCCAACCAATTCCAATTCCAATTCTCACCAATTCCGACCAATTTCAATTCCAATTCCAATTCCAATTCTCACCAATTCCGACTAATTCCAATTCCAATTCCAACCAATTCCAGCCAATCCAAGACTTGGAATTGACTCGGATTGGAATGGTTGCATCCTTAGTCAGAAGCGTGGGATGAGGACGAATAAATGGTAGTCTTCTCTGCATTCCCGTGTAGATTCACATTCATGCAGAAAGTTGAGATATAAAAATTGTGGTGCTATTCACTGATCTTGATGGAGAAATAAGTTATAAATTTATTCATAAAAATATCTTATGTATAGAACTAAATTTGAAAACGTTTTTGTCGAAAAATTCTCCAGAAATGTTCAATGTTTTCTTTCAGAAAAGGATCAGCGAATCCGTAGGATGAGCGCTACCTTGTTTACCTAAACATTCACAAAAATCAATCAATCGAGTTTTAAATGCTTTAAAACATGTGCAAAGTCATCGGGTGAATTTTACGAAAAAAGAATTTCATTTCATAATCTTTGGAAATACGGATAAACAAATAGATTGATGGAAATGATATTGATGTCTGTTGCGTCGAGCTCGATCAGCAATCACGATTGAAAACTAACAAAGTACTAGAAATCTTTATTAAAAGCCAAAATTTAATAAATATAGATTTTACATAAGGAGTCATCCATAAAAGACACTCAGGTAAAAATACATTTTTAATCCTCTGCTCCTCACGAATGTTTAGTGGAGCCCATCGAATCCGGATCCAATTAATAGAAAAAATTCAAACCTGAACCCGACTTGATCCAGGTCCGAAACTAACTCGACGATCTCTAAGGTTCAAGGATAGAAAAGAATTCAGAAAAAGCCTGATTGTTCAAATATATTACTTGTTTTTTATTGAATACATCTAGCAAAAATAGAAATCAATAAACAAAAGCTAACCATTTGCAAGGATTTTTTTTTAAAATACATTCGATATTAATAAGCAAAAAGTAGTAAAAACAATAAATGAATTTGAACACGAATTACAGTCGGAAATCTCTTATAGCTACTGCATAAAATATCAATCTGTTCATACAGCATAATTTTTAATTATTTCAACACGGTATTTACTTTTAATCGACTCTCATTCGCTTCATTTTCTATTTAAAAATACTCTTTAAAACAAAGAAAACTTCAAAATTTCGCTAAAGTTGCGTGAAGAGAAAAGGAAAACATTTATATTGTTTGGATGTCCAGAAATGCTTTACTCATCTAGTCGACTCTTTCTAAATTTATCCAGTTTCGATGAACCTTCCCCTCTACCTAGATTTCCTTTATGCATGATCCTGCAAAAGAATTGTATAGTAGGTAATCTATTAGAAAAATAAAAATCAGAGTTCTTTATTTCGAATACAAAAGTATATTTAATTAATTATTTGAATTTTATTAGAAATATGAAAAATATAATCAAATAATAAAAATTTCTTCATCAAATTATTAATTAACAATTGAAACAATAATACGATTAAATTCATTAATCAATTTTACATCAAGTCACGTTTCACTATATCCCATTGAATATTATTCTATTATTCATCCTCAAACTAAGCTTACCTATGTCTATAATTCAAATGGGCAATACAATACATCTTATTATACTAATCCTGATTATATACGAAAGTATTTTCTCTGGCATACATTTGTCTAATAATTATCTTTCAGTAATCCTCAATATGCAATATACAATATGAGATACTCTGTTATAACATATTCTTCTAATCTACGATTAGATAAAGTAACTTATACATGTATTGAACAAGCATATCGACTATCACGAAAAACTCATTTAAGAAGAGTAGCAAGAAACCAAAGAATATAAATATCATACATGAAAAACTACGATTGATATTTGCACTTAAACTCTATTCATTCCTGTTGATTTTTTTATTGTTTTTTTTTCAGTTAAACAAAAAATAGTAGATGAAGAAAAGAGAAATAAAAACAATTCATTCTTACATAATAGATTAATATAAGAACATTGATTTCTTATATTTTCATTTTATAGATGTTCCTATCTTTATTCTCATATGTTATGCATCATTTGTAAACAAGTAAAATGTATATTCATATTACAATCAACATTTATAAAAAGGTTAGTAAGCAAACAATTCATATCATTTATGTTATTTACCCATCAACTCATTTTTTGTTTTTAATATGTTTATCAAATTTCTAATTTTTCTACTGAATGACTTATATTCACAATTGAATATTTTAAAAAATTGATCATTCATAAAGTCCTATGTACCTATTCAACAAAACTTTATCTAACAAAAGGTGATGATAAAAATGGTATATTGAATAACCTTTGGGCTTTGATAAAATGTTTTATGAGACTACGGGTAAATATAGACAGTTATATAATTTTCATCAGTTTAAATAATGCATCAGATATGTGTTAAAATTAATTGGTTGGATAAATTTTTGCTTTTGTCCGATAAATCAGTTGATGTCTATTGCCAAAAGTTATTGCAGAGAAATTCAACAATTTTGTTCATTGGATGTATATCACAATATTTGATCTTGGTTTATTTATGAATAAAATAAGAAAATTTCAAAAAATATCTTTTTTCGGTTTTAAAATATAACTATATTACAATTAAAACTTGAATTTTGTTGTTGATCATGATCTAATCTTTGTTTCAATTAACATTTTCAAAATAAATGTATTTATTATGAAATGGATGACAGAGATTATATATGATGCAATTGACATTCATATAATCATACTACAACATCTCACAAGGGTACCTTTTTGATTGATCAATCGCTTTTGAATTCACACTCTATGCTTAAGACAGACTCCAGTGAGACATAAGAAACATAAAAAAAGGATAAATCAACTTAAACGTTCTATCCAGTTATAGACATTTTAACGCGATTTCAGCTTCCGACTTGGTATATGTCAACAAATTGGATGATGCTATTTCAACCAGAGATTTTATCCACAGAGAGCTTTATTTATCAATAGAATGCTCTAAAAAAATCCTAGCTCAAAAGAACATTTACTTCTCCAGATATCAAAGTTTCAAAAACAAACAGAAAACTTTCGCATCTTTCATGAAACATGAATGAGTTTTGGGAGTTAAACATTTCGGGAATGAAATATTCTTTGAGATATTATTTTCACAGCATTCTACTGACAAGTAGATCTATTTGTGGGTAAAATCTCAGGTCGAAATACCGTCATTCAAATTGTTAATATATTTGAAGCTAGAGAATAAAATTTCAGTAAAATGTCTAGAACTTTGGATAGAAGATCTAATGAAAGCTATCCTTTTGAAGTTTTTCATAATTCATTGCACAAGACTACTGTATTGATTTTGAATTTTATTTTATCGTAATCAGAATAAATGATATCTCATTTATGCAAAATTCGTTGTGCATATGAATATGATAATAAAAACGGAAAAGGAACAAGACAATTATTAACTATAGAAAACACAATATTTAAGAAATAAGAAAAAAGAAAAGAAACTGAATGAATTGAATAATCCTAGTCTATTGTTGTTACACACGCAAGACAGAAAATAATGTTCGATTGCTACTATATTGCCACAATATTTATTTTTCTATTACTTTTCGCTATCAGAATAATCTTCTGGATATTCTCCTTCATCTTCATAACCTTCAGCAGGCTCTTCTGGAGCTGCTGGTGTCGTTGTAGGTTTTTGTGTTGTTGTTGTTTCAACTACTGGTTCTTCTTGATCGTCATCACCACCTGTATATTCACCATCATTCTCACCGTCATCACCAGAAGGTGGTTGTGGTTGTGGTTGCGGTTGTGGTTCTGGTTGTGGTTGTGGTACTGGTTGAGGTTGTGGTTGTGGTTGAGGTGGATAGTAACCTGGTTGATTATATGGATATTGATTATATGGATCATATGGAGGATATTGTGGTTGCGGTTGTGGTTGAGGTTGAGGCTGTGGTTGAGGTTGAGGTTGTGATCGAGGGTAATAACCACCGTCAGTAACCTTAAATAAATCAATAAAATCTGAATTGAATAAAATTGAAAATTGCATACTTGTAAATCAATTGAAGCTTGATCATTTGGATTACCAGTACCAGCAGTACATTCATATCGACCCGCATCACTTTGAGTAGCATCAGGAATTGTTAATCGTGCAAGTTTGCGATTGCCTGGAAGAATCGTACTCTGTACTTTGTATTGTAATGGCTAGAATAAAAATCCATTAAAATAAAAAATAAAAAACTTCAATATTCTAATTAAAAAAAAAATTAAAAATGTAATTAACCTGATTTCCAGATCGTGACCAACGTGGTTGAGCATATTGATTATAAGGTGAAACAACTTCACAATCAAAATAAATACTTTGTCCAGTTGATGCACGAGCACCATCATCAGGTCCAAATATGTATACATCAACACGTTGTGGTTGAAATTGTTGTGGTTGATATTGTTGTGGTTGATTTTGTTGTGGTTGATTTTGTTGTGGTTGATTATATGGATATTGATTATATTGATAACCTTGTTGTGTTCGAGGATCGTAAACTGGTTGTGTTGGTGCTTGTGGATATTGAATACCTAAACTTGAAGCATATTCCCATGGTACACATTTTTCACAACATTCTCCAGGTAAAGCAGCTGCTACAAAATCTTTGCCACAATTTGGAGTCTTACAACTACGACGATCACACTTTGAATCTAAATAAAAATAAAAATATATTTCAATATAAAAATCCATATTATTATTGATAGATTTTTTGTTTATTTTTTTTTATATTACCACTAAGTGCTTGTCGTTTGACTAATCGTTTGATTAATTTAGTTTCTCGACGATTTAATTGACGTGATGATGATGCAAGTAATTTTAAACCACAAGCGACATAAATAGTCGCACATAATAGAATAGATACAAAGATAAGTTTCATTCTAGAAAATAAAAATATAGAACAAACCTTGAATTGATGTTAAGTTAAAACAAAATGAGTCAAATATATTCTGTTCGTCTTAAATGCAAACTAAGATTGAAATGTTTCTTTTTTTTTTTGTTCTTGTATAGTGCCTTTTTTTATCTCGCTTATCTCTCATGATGCAAACATGAATAGTAGATGAAATCAAATCCTTTCTCTCTCATGCACTTACTTTTTATTCTATTGTTAAGAATGGTATAACCCTCCGTTTCTTCTTCTTCTTCTTCTTCTTCATCTACACATTTCAAGATAACTTTTTTCTTTCTTTATTTAACAAGGTTGGTCGGTACATAAGTCCTATCTGTTTCATCATCTTGTTCGCTCTTTTCCTTTTTTTTTTCTCTAGTTGCTCGGTCAGAGAAAAACTTAGTAGACAAGTCATTTGAAACAAAGAAAAAAAAACGACGTGATGATTAGTGGTGATATAAACAAAAGTCTAAAGGAAGAAGAAAAAACAATTTCCTCCGGCAAAATCAATCTTACTACTCTTGTTTTTTTATTAGAAATCAAATGATTTATGTTTTTAAACAATAGAATGAATGTCGAAAAAGATCAATTTGAGGTTATTGATAAAATATGAAATTTCATAAGCATTACATGTTATCTAAGTCATAAGTTCACTTTCTTTTTTTTTATCAAACTATTCACATGGATAAAACCTAACAAAGATTTTCTATTTGTTGTTTTATATTATTAATCACATCATTATCTAATGCATAAAAAGACAAAATGAAGAAAAGACTTTCAATGATAAAAGTAATTAACTGAGTTAAACTCTCCACACTCACGTATAATGCAATTGAAGAAACTTAAAGCACACGCAGAGGACTCGTTTTTTCTCAGTGATTGATGAATTGACTGGAACCAAAATGAGTTTTTTTTTCCTCTTTGCTTAATGCAGATGACCGAATCCGTACAGGTATACATATGTATCGTATATTGCAGCGGAGAAAAAAAAGAGAAAGAGAAGAGAACGTGGATATACACACATAATTTCTCACATGTATCGCTGGTGTGAACACATACAATCTGCTTTAGTTGTGTTTTATGACAGGGTGCACGCATAAAGTTATGTAACATTTAATAAAGAAAAAAGAGTGAAAGAAGAAAAAAAAAAAACAGTGTCCCTGAAAAAAACCAACAATCAAGTCAGAGATGTGGGAAGGAAATTGAATCAGTTATGTGTCATTATCGGATATATAAGCAATAGAATGAGTCTCATTGATTATTCAGACTGAACCCAGTAGGAAGAAATAGAACGGAAAGATTTTCTAATAAAAGTCTTTTTTGTTTTGTTTTGTTTTGCATTTTTTTTGCTGGAACAAATACATTTTAGGCTAATTAAACGTTAATATGTCCATGATGAATATGCATTATTGAGTCTTCGATCAATTTATTTCTACTTATGCTTCCGAAAGAATTGAATAATGAACAATAAAAAGAAATACATATTCTTATACGAGTCATTTTTTTTTCTCGTGGCATTGCATTCAAGGATGTCATACGTTAATGACTATTGAAAAGATCAAAAGTTCGAAAATGATGAATGTTTAAACAAGTCTTTAAATTAGTCGAATATATAATTGATAACTTTTTTGGTTTTGAATTATATGACACATTTGTTTATTGAAAGAAATAAAATAAAAGAGAAAATTTTTTCAGTTTAGTTATATTCAAAATACATCTGAGCAGTAAGTATTTAATTGAAACTTGATTTAATTGTAGATTTAATGAATAATTGAATAAATGTGAATCACTCATAAATTGTTCGTAAGTAAATTTTTTATTTAAAATATCAACGCCATAGGAATATGATATAAAATAACATGACATATGAGTATTTATTTCTACTATCATAAAAAAAAGAAATTTGAGAAATCGAAAACTACTTATCACAGTTCTCAGAGAGAACATTTTTTATTAACAATCAAATGTCATAAAATTCATACTATATGATTTCACAAAACCGTATAAATAATTATTTTACAGTAAGATTTAATATTTATCTAACTATAAGATGTTACTATGAACTTTACATGATTGATGTCAAGTCTAATGATCGAAATCTTAAAAAAATATTTAAACAATTAAATACATTCTAATTTAGACACTTTTTTTATTATTAAAAAAAAAAATTTTTAAACAGAAGCAGATTTTTTTAAATGTTTATTTTATTGTATTTTAACGATCAAATCAATAAAAATAATATTTTTCATGCGCATATTTTTGCACGTTTTAGATCTTTTTGTCTCAATCTGAGAATATCGATATGCAAAAAAAAAGTTTCTGGAGAAAACAATATGATAGAAGCCGAAAATCAGGTATACAACGCTGTGATAAACCCTGGAAAATCCTACAAGATCATATACGATCTTCTATAATCATGAGAGTTCGTATATGATTTTGTAAGAATCGAACAAAATTTGCATAAAATGATTGTTTGATCGATATTATGATTCTTTTATCACAATAAAAAAATCTACTTATGTAATTGATGTTTCGTTTAACGTAGAATTGATATATCAAGTAGGTAAAATTAGAAATCAACTAGAAATAAATTCATACAATCAAAATAATTAAAATTTAAATAGAATAAATATGTTTTTGTTTTTATTCAGTAAGTCTTTTCATTTTAATGGCCAATACAAACAACAAAACATTTTAATTTATCCATCCATATTTGTACAACTACAATTCGTTTTGAATAACATTATATCGAACAAAAAACTTCGATATATTGTTTTTTTTTGTTTCATTATATTTTACTTTTAGTAACACACGTAATTCTATGAATTTATCTCTAATAGAATTGTAATTTTGTTTACAATATATATGATTTAATATGTTCATAAACGTTTTTCTTGTTGTATTAATAGCTCATTGAATAATAATTTAAAAAACTATTAACCTTTAATTTCTTTCGATTATACGTAAGTATAACTAATCACAGTTAGAAAGGATCAATATATAAAATAAAGTGATGTACAAACATAAATATATTCAATGATAATTATTCAAATATATCTATTAATCTCGCTAACATTATCTACCAGATAAAAAAAAACGTGACTAAAATTCGCCATTAGATTTTTATCATTGAATTATTAAGTGGAATATTATCTTTTCGCCTCTAATAGCATAGAAATAATGATAAGTGAATAAAGAAAAAATAAGCATTATTTCGCTTGTTTTTCGTTTGCATCAGACTAACAAATATTCATATATAGAATTAATAATTAACTTCATTAAATCATGTCTGAGACATATTCCATTGAGACATGTCACAATTTATCACGCACATAATGTTAGTGTTGCATGAAAAAAAAAATTTTTTGTCAAAATCATTTTATCGAACGATGATAATTTGCCAAATTTTCCACTGAATTCCTTAGTTGATTAAATGAACTAACTTAATGATCGACTAATGAAGTGTAATATTGATTAATTTATTGTCAAAGACTTCAAGAAATGACGTGAAAATAATTAACGATATTTTTCAAGAGAAACATCGACAAATAAACCAAAAAAACACTGAAGTTTTTAAAATTCAATCAATAATTGCTGAAATCATTTGGAAACAAGAGACAATATGAAGAATATTAATGTACTAAACGTAAATATTCATGCAGTTATATAGCAAATAAATAACATCGAACAGATATATTTTAAAATTCTCGTTCTTTCGATTATTGATCAATTGCAATTTAATTCAAACTGAAAAATTGTTCATATTTTAATTCGAATTTTCAAATCTTCTAATCCTATATGAATTAATCGATTATATTAATAGAAGTTCGTTGTACATAGTCAATAAGAATAGATATTTATTGATAGATCAAAATTGACATTTATATTTGATCAATTACGAGTTTATAACAGCTTTAAAAAGTAGTCGATAAATCCATTGTTCGATTGCCAATATGTGTTAATCATCAACATTGACGTGAATTTTTATAAAAGCTCAAGCGGATGTTTTTTGTTATGAATGAAGACACAATGTTTATTGAATGTACGCACAACATAAAAGAATTATGAATGTTATTTATAAGAACGAAACATTGGTTCTGACACTCTTCTATCCATTCAAAGAAGAGAAAATAATTGAACCAAGAAGAAAATTTCTTCAACTGTCGAATTGCTTTCAAACTGAGACGATGTTCATCTGATAAATAGTAGTGAATAATAGATAAGTTTAGAATAGTTTGCTTTCTCAACCCTCTGTTCTTGAGATATCAAAATTATACTCAATTTTTTAACGAAAAAACTATGATCACGTGAAAAGCTGACCCGTGTAGTTTGACTTCAAAACTCTATCATGTGTAAAAGTAAATTTTATTCATATATTTCCACTTTCAGAAAGAACATACTAATTGCATAATTAACTAATCCTATTGATAAGTTTGTTCGTGGGAAATTTCAAGTCAAATCTTGAAAGTCAATTTTCCAAGTGATTTGAGGGAAGGAAAAACCCAATTAAATTTCGATATTTCAAAAACCAAGATTC